CTCCCACGGGAGACAGTCCTCCACCAACTTCTCCAACGTGAGCCCTTCCCACGGGCTGCAGTTCTTCACAAACTGCTCCAGTGTGGTCCCTCCCATGGGGTGCAGTCCATCCCTCAGGAGCAGCCTGCTCCAGCCTGGACTGCCCATGGAGTCACAGGCTCTTCAGGCACAGCCACCTGCTCTGGCGTGGGGCCCTCCCCGGGCTGCAGGGGGGTCTCTGCTCCCCCGTGACCCTCCATGGCTGCAGGGCACAGCCTGCCCTCTCACCACGGGCTGCAAGGGAACCTCTGCTCCGGCCACCTCCTCCCCTGCCTTTCCTCACTGACCTGGGGGTCTGCCTGGCTGTCTCTCTCACATCCCACTCCTCCCTCCCTACAGATATCTTCATTTTCCCCCTCTTAAATGTGTTAATCACTGAGGCACTGATTGGCTGCACCATGGCCAGGGGCAGGTCGGGTTGGGAGCCAGGGAAGCTTCTAGCAGCTTCTCACCAGACCCATCCCTGTAGTCCCTGCCCTGCTACCACAAACCCGCCACACAAATGCAACACAACCCCGCAGTTCCCGTCTGGAGATGCAACATGAGACATGGCGAACACGTTTCTACCCTGCGGATGGCCCTTCCAAGCCTTTCAGCAGCACGGCACACTGCACACCACAGCAACTTCCTAAACCTACTGTTTTCCTAGTGAACCAAGAGGCAAAACTCCCAAAAGGTTCTTCCTGCTGTTCCCTCACCAAGAATCGACACTAGCATCAGGGCAAGGGCGAATGTAACAAAACATCAGTTCCAAAGCATGCATGCCTGTCAATTCATCTTTTAGAGAAGTCTGCCCGTGCGACTTTCGTACTGTAATCACCACAGAAATAACTACTCTAACAAGAATACCCAAGGTAGTTCACTCACATAAAAGGGGGATGTGTTTTTGCCTCCAACAAGTAGCTTAGATGTTTTTCCACCCGACTCTTCCTTGGAAATGTATTTTAAAACATGGCAATCTTGCACCTTAAGGAAAGAAAAACAGGGTTTATTTGAGCGTAAGCAGATGTGTACACTTTGAGACCACAGGAAGACATTATCAAAACAAGTGAAACAAAGTTAATCTCTGTTTTCCTTTCCATCTGTGTAACAGGAAACAGAGCCTACAAGTAGGGGAGCATGCTACCTTTTTACCACAGACATTCTTTTCCCAATCAATTAAAGGCATAGCTTAGAAAAAAAATATTAGCAGAATGCAAACTATATTTTCATAAATGCTCTAGAAACGGAATAAATTTTTATAGTCATCTTTTGCCTGCAAAATCCCTACTGTATACAGGAGCAAAGCACAGAATCATTTTAGACTCCTGCTCCTTTGCCCTGTAAACCTGATGTCCTTCACTGGCACTGGTTGATCACGTGGCAGCAACAGGTCAACATCACAGCAGTAGCTGCCAGAGAATATGAAGCAGCAGGTTCAGGGCTACAAAGGCTCAGAAATCAAGGTAAAACTAATCCCAAAGTGCCTGCAACTGGCAAAATAAACTGAAGTGGGTTTGTTGCCTCCCATCTTCCCTCACCTACGCGCAGCTCTGCGGCAGCTGAACAGCTAGGACAGAAGGCTGACCACTCCTTGAAAGTTCACAACACAAACAGGGAACAGGCATGGTGTGCTATGCAGGGGTGGCAGAAATTTTTCCTTTCCTTAGGGGTTTTTTACTCTGGACAAGTGATAAGTTTCACTTTTGCCTGAAACTTATGGTTAACGATCTGAATGCAGTATAGGAGATAAAAATCATTATAATTTATTTCACCTTAAGTAGTGTGACAGCATGTTTTTTTCCTGACTTGGTCCATATTGGCATCATTCCCAGTTTCACTGCAACAACACCAACTCTCATGGAATCTGTAGATGAAAACAGAACATGGATGCAAGTCTCAACATTTGAAAGAGCCCATCTCATAACCTGCAAAGTCCCACTAACTCTGATCTTTCCTAAGGAGCTGAAGGACAGAAAACATTGCTGACTCCCTGTGGGTAGGCTAGGAATAACCCGTCCACTGTTTTTAATCCCACTAGCAGTGAAGTTCTATCTGTTCCAGTTGTGTTTGATAGAAATGCAAACTAGTTCCCCATTAGAACCACCACTGTTTCAGACTAACAGTTTTAGAAAATACAACACCCATGTAGAGTACTAGAGCCAAACTAGCTATTGAAAAGTTTACTGTAGGAAGCTCCTCCCACCCCAACCTTCTCATATTTTCTGTCACTGTTACTGTACAGCAAAGGCAATCCATCAATTCTGGCTTCGGACGGTCCGTGGTGTGAAAAACAAAACACTTAAGGTGAAGAATAAATGCTTAAAAGTTTGAAAAATGCTCTTTGTTCCAGTTTCCACTGTCATACCTGAGGATCTTCTCATGGATTTGTCAGGTTGTTGTTTGCTGTCAAATGGTGTGACCTGCCTGAAGGCTCAAAAACTTTATACTGTGTTCTAGTCCATAAGACTTTGGAAGCACTGAATAGATGTGGGATGTAATGTATACGCTACACTTTTTCTTCATAGTCCAGCAATATTTACAAGAACGTTTTCAAGTCCATATACTTCATATTCTAGGGAGTCTTTTTTGATGAATTCTTAATTACCTTGTCATTGTGCAGCAGTGGGACTGGCCACGTGCTGATTTGGACTAAAACAGAAGTTCTTACAAGGTTCTTGACAACTTGTAATATTTTAAATGCTTTTTAGAGAGCCAATGTATTACACTTACTAATTTACTAGGAGATGTATTGGATGATTGAGGTAAAACACAATCCAGACATGACTGAATGCAACAACACAACACAATAATTTCAGAAGAGGTACTTTCTCACCTGGTTTCCATTCATTCAGTGGCCATGGCTCATCTTTCAGAGGGCACAGCTTGCTGGCTGTCTGAGCCTTGTATTCCTCCGCAGTTATCTTCTTGAGGAACTCGACATTCTCTTCAGAAAGATGCTCATGCCACCACGTTGTACTGTTAACGTTTCTGACCAGAAAGCCAAGCTGCCCCCTTTCCAGTGGTGGGAAGAAGTTTTAAGTGTCTTATCAGTTCAAATAATGTCTCATAACATGTATGTTTGCAATGTAATACATACCACATATCATTACATAATACAGTATACAGTCATAAAGACCCAAATTATACCAGCGAACTATTCAACCATCATCATTCAAACTGGCCACCCTTGACCAACACCACCTAATTATTTATCATGCTCTCATCTACTTTTTAAAGTATTCTAAAATACTTTATCACCCTTCTTTCAGCACTCCAAGTAGACCACATCCACAGTACTAAATCCAGCTTTGGGTCCCCAGTACAACAGGGCTGTTTACAAACAAGGGAGTCCATCAGCGGTACTCAAAAATACAGGGGCTGGAGCACTTGCCCTCCGAGGAGGATTGAGGTAACTGTGCTTGTTTAGTCTGGAGGAGGCTTAGGGGGGACCTGACAGCAGCCTTCCAATAACTGTGAGAAGGTTACTGACAGGACAGAGACAGGCCTTGTTTACTGAGGAACATGCCAGGAGAATGAGAAAGTTGGTGTAAATTGGAAAAGGGGACTCCGGTTTGACATAAGGAAAAAATGTTCAGCCGCACTACAGTCAAACACTGAACAGGGGCCCAAGAGAAACTGTGCAGCCTGTCCTTGGAGGCTCTTGAGGCCCAACCCAATTCCTGAACAACGTGGTATGACCTGAGAGCTGCCCACACTGAGCAGGTTAGACTAAACAGGTCCGTGGTTCCCTTCCAGCCCCAATAACTCCCTGATTTCATATTCACTGCTGAACACCTCACCGTACTGCCCTAATTTTTGTGAGGGCTAAGAAAGTCCAAATGCTCCTCAATCCTCTGAAAGTACAATCACAGAATCACTAAGGCTGG